ATAAGTAACGCGACAATCAATATAGATAACAATCATTTTCATGCAGATCTTAGTGGTTGGGTTTTTCCATGAAGGACAACTACGTGTTCCTGAATCGAGTGTATTCGTTGTCTGTGGAGATTCTATGGTTCCTACAGTAGCTGTTCAATCTGGAGTGTTTCGTTGTTCAGTTGCGCCTCAGTCTCCTGGATCAGTGAACCTGTACTTGAGTTTTGATGGCCACACACCTATTAGCCAAGTTTTGACCTTTGAGTTTCGTGCTCCTTCAGTGCATAAAGGGATTACCCCTGTGGAAAGTAATTCTGATTGGGAAAAATTTCGATTTCAGACAAGGCTTGCTCATTTGCTGTTTTCGTCATCCAAGAGCCTGGATATCTTTTCCACTAAAGTATCACAAAATGCCTTGATGGAAGCCAAAGATCTTGCTCAGAAAACGTCACTTATCTCCGATAATTGGAAATACTTGATTAAATCAATTGACGACACCAAAATGCCTTTTCCTCAGGCAAAAGAAAGCTTGTTTGAGTTGACTTTGCATAATAAACTTCAAGAATGGTTGCTAGAAAATGTATTAGCAGGGCGCAAAATTTCTGAATATGATGAACAGGGTCAAGGTGTAATTCATTTATGTGCCATTCTAGGTTATACATGGGCTGTTTATCCTTATTCATGGTCTGGCTTATCGTTGGATTATCGAGACAAATTTGGATGGACAGCTCTTCATTGGGCTGCATATTATGGAAGGTACAGTTATGTTCTCTACATGAAATGATATATTATATTATTCCAGTTTCTGTTTTCCATCAATAATGATTCCTCTCATTGAGTACTATGGTTATTGTTTTGTGCATTTGTTTGCAAACTTTGTGTGTGATAAGATAAATATCCGAGATTAGAGTTTGTAATGTTGTTGTATGTTAATGTTGTTGTATGTAACATAATGAAGTAACAATATTGTAGGGATAATTTTGAATTATTGATATATCACATTATGCTTATGCATGTTTGGCTTATAAAAAGTGAAGCATATGGATAAACTTGTGTATGATTGAGTATAAATTATTTACAGAGAGAGAATGGTGGCAATTCTTTTATCTGCTGGGGCAAAGCCAAATTTAGTCACAGATCCAACATCACGAAACCCTGGTGGATGTACTGCTGCCGATCTTGCTTCTGTAAATGGTTATGATGGTTTAGCTGCTTATCTTGCCGAAAAGGGCTTAGTTGCTCATGTTGAGGATATGACATTGGCTGGAAATGTCAGTGGGTCGCTGCAACCCACCACAAATGATTCAGCGAACTCCGAGAATTGCAGGGAGGAGGAGTTGTATCTGAAGGATACTCTTGCAGCTTACAGGACAGCTGCTGATGCAGCTGCACGTATTCAGTCTGCATTTAGGGAGCACTCATTCAAACTTCGGACAAAAGAAGTTCAATCATCTAATCCAGAGATTGAAGCTCGAAACATAGTTGCAGCAATGAAGATCCAGCATGCTTTCCGTAACTTTGATGCACGTAAAAAGATCACAGCTGCTGCACAAATCCAATGTAGATTCCGTACATGGAAGATGCGAAAGGATTTCCTCAACATGCGTCGTCAGGCAACCAGAATTCAAGTGAGTTCTACAAGCTCTTTCTCATCATTTTGATATC